GCTTGTAATATAACAATAACCTTAGACCCATCCTCTCTTGGATAGCAAGGTAATGGACCTGTACATGTAGGGCATTATTGACTTTGTGATAAAGTTGCATTTAAGCATTTGCCACCCAGCTGGTATGGCACATGCACTCTGGGCGTAGTGATCCCAGACATGACACTTCACCCGAACACGTCGCTTCAAGGGCGGCACCAAAATCGCCGGCATCGGTTCCAACGAGGGGTGAGCCTCAACCCCCTTGTCGAGCGACCTACCTCATTCCATTCCTTTGCCCGATAGTTCATACCTTGGCTAGGTGTTTCTGAACTTGAAAAGACTATTGTAAATCTTTCAGCCTCACTGGAAGTATTAGCTAACAAAACCACTGATGCCTTAACCCGACTGCAAACTGAAGTAACTCAAATTTCTCATATTACTTTGCAAAATCCCCTAGTGTTAGACCTACTTCTTACTAATCAAGGAAGAGTATGTACTTTAATCAACGATACTTACTGCACCTATGTAGATGAATCAGGGAAAGTACTGGAAGATATCCATAAGATCCAGAATATGGCTAGTCAATTCCACGCCATAACCACAGATAACACCTCTTGGAGTGTACAAGACGCATGGGCTCTCCTGACATCCTGGTTCCCCGGATTACGATGGACTCACAAACTCGTTACTATTATTGTTGCTCTTGGATGTCTTTTGATTTTAACCTGTTGTTGTATCCAATGTATTGGAACCCTACCTTTCTGTATTATCCACATGTTGTAGATGTACTATGCATAACATAGAAGAATGTGTTGAAATGTCTAAAGCTAAAGTGCTGGAATGCCAGAAGCGTTTAGATACTAAATATAGTAGGAAGCGAAGGCCAAGATCAAAGGGGGGATTGTAGAAATTAATTAGCAAGACCATAGATAATATTGTAGAAATTAACTACAAAGTAGACTCAGCGCTTCAAGGACACAGCCTGATAAGACTCCGGAATGACTAAATCCTAGTCGCCTCGAAGTCTGAAGCAATCAAGGATGTAGCCCCCTCCCTATTAGCTAGCATTCCAAAACAAACACGTAGCCACAAAAACCAGTTTGAACCAATTAGGGATCTCTCAAACTGGCCTAATACCTTGTTATCTATCACAGTGGAAAATTCCCACCTGTGCGCGCATCCTGACTGTAAACTATAAATCGCCTCTAACAGTTTTATTCTGGGCCTCTGAGCTTGCTCAGGGTGCCCAACATGCTGAATAAAAGTTGAGACTGACAGTAACTCTGTGTCTTTGAGAACAGCTCCACAAGAGGTCACGGACTCCGCAACAGTTACAAATTAAAACTTTTATTTCTCAGCATGCTTTCCAGTTCACCACTTTGGCTACAGAGTTCCTCACCATTCTCTTCACTTTTCATTAATCTTAAATAGCTTTGTGTCCAGTGCAATATACGTGCTTCCCCTCTTCTGCTTACTACTCATTAACATACTATACTGAAACACCCCAGACTGAATCCTACCTTTCTCCTAAGTCTTGCAGCATTCGTTAATTCACCGTTGTGTGCCACAGCAATCTTCCCATGAAGCGTTTCTACAACGAAAGGCTGGCAGTTCTGCAGTTCTGAGATCCCCGAAGTAGAGTATCTTGTGTGGCCAATTCCAAGGTTTGAAACATACAACTTCTTCAGACTGTCTTCACTGAACACATGATTAATAAGACCCATTCCCTTAAGGAGCATAAGAATACAGGACACATTTGTTGTTGTTTTTTCCACCAATGCTATCCACTGTGCCAAGGCTATATAAATGTACAAACTAAGGAAAACAGACAGGCCTAAGAGAGGTGAAAAAGCTGACAAGAAAAGTGGTTGTAGTGGCATTAGGTCACATCCCGTTAATACTGTGTTTAAATAACATGATGTAGGGGTTTATTTTTAAGATAAAAGTATACTCTGTTATCTGTGAAGAAAATATCTGTTAAATAAAGCAGTAGCAGGAGAAAAATAGTAGGATACTGCAAGTACAGGATAGTCAGGCAGTTTTTTTGAGAAAGCTCAGCTCAGGTAACTTTATTCTTTAATATAATGTCTAACACGCTTTAAAAAGAAAATACTGTACAACTCAAAAGCCTTTCATATAGTCTGAATTATTATTTGTACAAATTCTCACATGGAACATACTGTTTGGATGTAATTAAATAGCACTTTGAAATGCATGGCATGTTTTCTGAAGAACAAATAAATAGGCAAGAACAGGAATTGAGAAAAGCTGCTAAGAGAAATTAAATAATACTTGATATCAACACCAACATATTGTATTGTTTTTTATGCTGGGTTTAGATCTGCATTTAGAAAACCTCAGTGTCTAATTCGTGCCACTGCTCAACTTGGCAATCTTTTCAGAGTATGTTGTTTTTTTCAGCACAAAAAGTCTTCAAGATATCCAAGTTGTCTTCTTTCACTAAGAGAAATGAATCAGAACTTCTCTCACTAGTCACCAGGATATCCTAGTATATTAAAAAGCCAGAGTAGCACTCCTGTTGTGCATTATGAGGGAGGAATGTTAAGACCAAGAATATTTAAGGCATAAGAGTGGAAATCAAACTTCTGTTCTCAACTTTTATGCAGACTCCTTTCCTGACCTTTAGCAAATCTCTTCCTTTCTCTATACCATGATACTTGTTGGGCATATGTTTCCACACTTTAATCTGTAGCTCTTTTTCCTTTTAATTCTTTTTCCTCCAGTTCACCAGTACCCTGCTGGTTTGGTGCATCATTATCCAGAACCGCCAGGCCCTAATCCTTTCAACCCTCTGGGACTAACATATTAGCAGCAAGATGGCTCCAGTTCCAAAAGCTCCTAAACATCTGTTTCTGCTGCTCCCCCCACTCTGTTTTTCTTCTTTTTAAGTAGAACGTTAAGCTGAAGTCTTGGAAGTTATCAGGTCAAGATTATAACAACTTCCTTGTTGTTGTACAGAATAACATAAAAACACTGCAGAATCAGGTGTTACGAATATGAAAAAAAATCTTTCTAAATTTAAGTAAACGAGTAAAGACTTCCCATATGCACCTCATCTAGAGATTTGGAATTCTTTTTTGGTTAGTTTGTTTTGATGACTTTTCCAGCCCTCCTTGCTACACTGAAGACTAGAGTTATTCTTTCTTAAAACTGCCAAGACAATAATGAGCAAGGAATCTTTGCATTTTACCTTATGCACTTTGAATGCCTGGGCTGATTCTCCATCACTTGTCACGATTCCAGCACTCTCCTGGCCCCTGCAGACAATACACAACCAAACAGAACGTTGGACAACTCCTGGAATAGAATTGTAAAGGATAAAAGTACAAGACACTTCAATACAAATTAATTCACTGTATTTTTTTATAAATATATCAAGACTCTTGTATTGCATAAACCAATCCCCAAATGTTGCATTAGGTTCAGCCCAAAGTTCACAAACGTTGAAAGGAATCTTTCCATTAGCTAACACTGGATCAGGTCCTCAGTGCTGACCTTCTTCATTAACTTGAAGGTGGGCATAAAATACTAGCAATTGCTTAACCTGGAATGCAATTCCACAACTATGTCAATAGGCTTCTACAGCTCAAATTAGAGCGTTTTCAACCTACTCAGATTTTTTTCTTAAGCAAAGCGTGGGCCAGTTACTTTAAAACTAGGAATTCAAGTTGAGGTGGTCGCTTTTCATAGATTTATAGAGTCGGAAGGGACCTCAGTGGGCCATCTAGTCCAACCCCCCAGTCTCTTTTTGAAGACCCCCAAGGATGGGGCAAGCACCACCTTCCTTGGGAGCTCGTTCCAGATTCTGGCAACCCTGACCATGAACAACTTTTTCCTAATGTCCAGCCTGAACCTTTTCTCCAGTAGTTTATGGCCACTGTTCCTTGTCATTCCAGGGGGTGCCCTGGTAAACAGATTGTCACCCACTTTACGTTGCTCTCCCCTTATGAATTTGTATGCTGCCACAAGGTCCCCTCTCAGCCTTCCCTTGGAGAGGCTGAAGAGGTTAAGGTCCCTTAGCCTTTCCTCGCAGAGCCTTCCCTGAAAGCCTCTAATCAGGCGAGTGGCTTTTGTTTGGACCCTCTCCAGGTTGTCCGCATCCCACTTGAACTACAGCATCCAGAACTGGACACAGTACCCCAGCTGCAGCCTGACCAGTGCTGCAGAGACAGGGAGAATCACTTCCCTTGGACATGTTTGTGAAGCACCTACAGATGCATGAGAAGGTGCGATTAACTCTGCCAACTGCATCATCACATTGGAGACTGATGTTCATCCCGGAGTCAACAGTGAATCCAAGATCTTTTTCTGCCTCAGTGGAGCTGAGAAGGTCACCCCCCAGCCTGTAGGTATGATGGCAGTTCTTCCTCCCTAGATGCAGCATCTTGCACTTGTCCTTATTGAATTGCATCCTGTTGCTCTCTACCCACTTCCCCGGCCTGTCTAGGTCGGCCTGGATCTGGTTCCTCCTCTCCAGGGTGTTTGCTGCACCCCATAATTTTGTGTTGTCCACAAATTTGGACAGGGTGCTTCCCACCCTGTCATCCAGATCACTGATGAAGATGTTGAACAGCACCGACCCCAGAATTGAACCCTGAGGGACTCCATTGCCCACATCTTTCCAGGTTGACACTGACCCGTCCACTACCACCCTCTGAGTGTGACCCTTAAGCCAATTTGCTACCCAGTCTACTGTGTAATCATCCAAAGCAAATCTCCTCAGTTTATTTATAAGGATGGTATGGGATACCTTGTCAAAGGCCTTCTTAAAGTCCAGATAGATGACATCCACCTCGACTCCTGCATTTAAACAATTGGTGGCCTTTTCATAAAAGGAAACTGGGTTAGTCAGGGAGGACCTGCCTGCTAAAAACCCATGTTGGTTACCCCTCTGCATCACGTAAGCTAGCGAGCTCCCACAGATGTGTTCCTTGATAACTTTTTCTAGGATTTTCCTAGGGATAGAGGTAAGGCTGATTGGTCTATTGTTCCCCAGGTCCTCCTTCCTGGGACGATGTTAGCCCTCTTCCAATCCTTCGGAACCTGACCCAAGCACCATGAGCACTCATATATCCTTGCCAGTGGATCAGCTATGACCCCTGCTAATTCCTTCATTACCCGTAGGTGGAATCCCTCCGGTCCCAGTGATTTGAATATGTCCATTCCCTCCAAGTGTCTTTTTTCCATGTCACCACTGACCATTGGTTGGCTGATGTTCCCTTTGTTGGTGTCTGCGATGTATGTTAAGGGTTTGTCTAGATTCCCATTTAAGAAGACAGAGGCAAAGAACTCATTGAAGAACTCTGTCTTGTCCCTGCTATCCGTCACTAAGCCGCCCTGCCCGTCCTGTATGGGTCCTATGCTACTCTGCACCCTCTTTTTGCTCCCAACGTACCTAAAGAAGGACTTTTTATTGTCTTTAATCCCTGACGCTATAGCCTGAATTCTAGAGTTGCCTTGGCCTTCCTGACCAACTCCCTGCAGGTGCAGGCCAAAGAAGTATACTCCTCTTTGCTAGCTACTCCCTGCTTCCACTTCCTGTACACCATTTTTTGTCCTTAAGGCATCCTGGATGCCCCTGGTTAGCCAAAGGGGCTTCCTGGCCCCCTTTCCTCTGCCATGGAATTGACTCACTCTGAGCCCAAAGGATGGTTTCCTTGAGGAATGTCCACCCACTCTGGACCCTCAACACATCTAAGTTCTTAGCTTCTAGCACCCTGCTAACCAATCCCCTGAGTTTATTAAAGTCAGCTTTTTTAAAGTTTAGCACTCGTGTCCTGCTGGGTATAATGCCCGCCCTTCACTGGATAGTGAATTTAATCATTTGGTGATCGCTGTCCCCTAAGTTGCCTTGAATCCACAGGCGGCCCCCACCAGGCCATTCCCTATGGCCAACACCAAGTCAAGCAAAGCGTTGCCCCTGGTGGGACACTTTACCTCCTGTGTTAGGTGGAGGCTTTTGCATTTAAGCAACCAAGTTAGTGTTTAGAACCTACTGAAAGGCTCTGGATCCTTATATCAAAGTGTAATTTTGAGCACCCAAACACAGAATCAGATACCTTAGCTTCTGTGCCCAAGCTGTAAAATTAAGCTTATAAATGTCATGAAAGAGGATAAGTTTATTTTTACATCAAATTGGTCTTAGAAGACAGAACATTAATACTAAAGATTCACAATATCAAATGATGCAACTTTTCTGGGCTCTTTCCTGTTTTTACAGACAGTCATCCCTGCCTCAGTCTTCCCTTTTATAGCAAGCTGAATACCACAGGTGCCAGATAAGCAGGTTATAATAAGCTAAACACCACAATGTGCCAGCAGCAGACAGTGTTCCCCATGTTTTACAAAGCAGGTGAAAGCCATGTTTTGTTTTATTTTTTAAAAACTCAGCTTCTAGTCCCAGCATGAGCCACTCTTTCTTTGCCTATGGTCTACTTGAGCATTGCACGCTAGGACCATGATCACCAGCTACAAGTCTGTACAGTTTCTGTAACAGACTTGAACTGGGGTACGTTCCTAGGGCAGGCTTCTGTTGGACTAAAACTTAAAAAAAAGCCAAAAGAACCAAACAAATCACAATTAAAAAAAACCCTAACCAATGTGATGTATATTAAATGATGTAGCTAAATCAGGGCCTTGTTACCTCTCAGCTCTGTGTTCTTGGGGAACCCGGACACAGGACGCAGCCTGTCTGACTCACAAAGATTTCCCCCCCCCGAACAAGAACTGATTATGAAAGACAATGAAGATGCAGTGGGAGATGCACCTAAAGCCGTCCAGATAAGGGTGACAAAACTGAAACAACTGCCCTAGGTCTCATCTGCATGCAAGATGGAACCAGATGACAATTCATTTACATGGAAGATGGAGAACAGAATTCTGGGATCAGAGAAGCAGGGAAGTACTGCATGATGGGGAATCTGTGCTCCAAATGCTAATCAACCCACATTTACACACACCCAGCTCAGCATTTATCAGACCAATTCTAATCTGGATTTACAAAGGACTCCCCCCCACCCCTGTCCACACACACACACACCCCTCTAAGCAGAAGTAAAAGTTTAATAGGCATCTTGGGCCATACATTCTCCGGTCCCACTATGGGAGTCCTACTTAAACTTGATCAACTAAAACTCGGTTGCCAGGTTAGGGAATGCTGAGGCAAAGAGACTGAGTCAGAGGGGATATGGGCAACATTTGAAAAATGCATTGTTAAGGGCTCATCACAGCATCCAGCCCATTGGAGCCCAGACCACAAGTGTTGTCATTCTTTTCCTGAGATAACTGGTGGAAGTCCTCCTCGCAAAAGTTATGAAAAGTCATGCTAAGCTGAGGCTTGTTCACAACAGGTAAAAATCCAAAACCCTGACGCTACAAGCTATCTATGGTTTCTGAAGAAACAATGAAGAATCCCATCCCGTATATCTGCTATCCATAGGAATTTCAAGCTGGCTCCTAAGTGTCTGGTTACTCCTTAAAAACTTACATTTTTCCTGGTTGTTAATCAGTTTCTTGAGATGTTCCAAACCAAATAACCCCTTGTCAATAGAAAAGACAATTATTTACATTATTAAGAATGCTTTGAAGAAGCTGAACTGAGGGTTTAAACATCTGTAAAAAAAACAGCAACAAAGTTGTGCTTCAAGAGGAGAAGTCTCTCTGACACCATCTGCAGTTGTTCCCGAGAAGCTGGAAGAAACAGATCGTCCCCCTTCAAGGATTGTGCTAAGAACTTTACCTGTCAGCACTGGAACCCGAGTGCCTTGGACTGGGGAGATCCCAGCTCTCGCTCTCTCTCTTCTTTTTTTCTTTCAGGCATAGATTTCTGAACCTGAATTGTATTAGGTAAGCTTGAGCTAAGTTTCCCCAAACACTTAGTGAAACCTGGGTAGTATTGTAATTGGTTGTGTTTGTTTTCCTTTGCATGCCTATTACTACTAGTACCATTATATATTTCATATACTTAGCAGTAAATAACTTTTATAGTCAAACTGGTATTAA